GGCTGCCTGCACAGGCTTCCTGCAGAGCCCCTGAGCTGCACAGAGCCTGGTGCTTCACTCCGCGGCTGTAGGGCAGCAAACTAAAACTCCTCAGAGGAGTTTTAGTTTGCTGTGCCCCAAGTCATTTAAGGCACATTATGCCACCGAATTTGCTACAGTGGCTGGAATTAATGCGTTATATGCCACCGACGCATGCAAACACCAACACCATTAAAGCAGTGGAAAAGCGTTTAACCTGCTTTAAAGTGTCATGCATACATGCCCCTTGTTTTGTCTACACATAGCCTTAGAATTTAGCTGACGTGTTCTCTTGAAAGTGGTTTGTGAGTCCTTGAAAGAAAGTAGAGTTGGGCGCATTTCAGTAACTGCTATGTAGAGAAGCAAAGGGAAGGATTGTGAAAGCAGATGATCCACATCCTGGACGAACTGATGCACGTTCTAAGCCCATGTAGGTACTAACTTCCACTGACATTTGTGATATATTTCAAACATCTGGGGGTAGTGTGGCATTTAGGATAGGGCACAGAGGAAGAAATGGAATTGGCACTTGATCCTTCACCCACCACTGTATATACTTATTGACCCACATCACAGTGTGAAATACAACCCCTTCAGGACTCCATGAACTGTGCTACTGATTACCTTATGGGGCAGCTACATTAAAAAAAAATAACCCCCACCTTCAAGTCCCCAGTTACATTAAAAAACAAACAAACCCATACTTGACAAGTACTGCTAGTGAGTGTATCTAAATGTGCAATTAGCATGTAGCAGTAGACATGCGATGGAGGGGCTGGCTGGGGCATGAAGGTGCTACAATGTGGGGCTATCTGGCACACTGTAGCACCCTTATGCCCCAGCCAGCCCTGGTCACTGTCTACACATGTGTTTCGGTGCACGTAACTACTCTGTTGTCCGGAACAAGTACTATCCTACAGTACGATCCTACATACACAAATTCACAGAAGCTTAGAGCTGGAAGGGACCTTGTGAGATCATTGGGTCCAACTCCCCTGCTCTGTGCAGGAAAGACTGCTGGGGTCAAATAACCCAGTGGAGTTAATTAGTTTACTGTGCCCTAATACAAATATGTGTAGATGGTAACGCTTTACTGCAGAGCTAATTAGTCAGCTCCACAGTAAAGCGTATGTATAGATGCACTCCAATATCTCCCAGCCAGGGAAGTGAGAGGCAGCCTAAGACCCTCAGATATCTTAGTAGTACTGCATACTTAGGACTTACCTGGATATAACTGGGCTGCCTCTAAGGGTTGTAGATGTAAACAATACTAAATCCAATATTGTTAATAATTTAGTATCATTTGTCATACAGAACCCACTATTCCCTAGAAACATGGCTTTGTGATTTGTTGCTCCCAGAACACAGGCTACAGTGAACTCCTTGACGGTAGCAATTTTGAATGAAGCTGTATACAGGCATCACATTTAGTGGTTAGTTTGTTGCCAGTGCAAATTGCAGGGCTTGAACGTGTGCCAGTTACACTTATGTACTTTACATGATTTTTGTACACCAGTGTAAATTATACTTAGAACTGGAGTAGACAGATGAGCAGCTATCTCAGGGCAGTAGGTGCAACCTAGTACTTGCACCTAGGCTGAGTGGGAGCAGATTATAGCTTGAAAAACAGCACTATTGGGTGAACTGTGGAAAGAAGGGGCTGTCCACGGATGTTAACACCTCCCAAACCCCGACAAAAGCACTTTACCAGAAGAAGCAGCACATTATTTCAACCTGACTCCACAGCATCTGTATAAATTGGGTGCTTCAGTGGGGCTTTTTGGTGCTGTTATCTAATAGCTGATTCAAAGCTATTAGATACTCCAAAGCATTTGGAATATGCTTCCAACTGGCAACTTGCAGTGCAAGTAAACCAGTAGAGAACCAGTGCATGGTAGCATGTGCTTGACCACAACAATCTGTGCAGACAAAGCACGTGGGCCATGTGAAGATAGCCAAGACAGCTGTAGAATACATGAGATACAGTAGTCACCACTGGCTCTGGAAGCAAAAGTACCACTGTCAGTCTAAGCAGGCTGATAATCCCTGCTCTAATTTTAATCTGCTCTTGTGAGGCAATATCAGAGTATTTTTCATATACTATAAACCACCTCAATTTTCTTGGTAGATCTTATTTTCTTTTCCCTTGAGGCAGATTATAACTGTAGGCTATACAGGCAGTCCTTGACTTAAGATGTTTCAAGTTGCAACGAACGGCACTTACATTTATAAACTGACACCCTGTTCTGACTTTCTGATGCAGCACCACACCAGTGGACAAGTTTATTGCAGCACCCATCTCCCTGGAGAACATCTGTCTATACATCCTTGGACGCTTTCTTTAAGAAAGCAGACAAGAATCCAGAAAAACCTGCAGCCAAAACTCCTGAGAAGACTCCAGGCAAGAACCCTTCAAAAGTCCAACCAAGAGCCCTTCAAAAAGTCCAGCAAAGTCATGTCAAAGATTTCATAGACATTAGGGCTGGAAGGGACCTCGGAAGATCTTCAAGTCCAGCCCCCTGCACCAGGGGCAGGAAGTCAGCAGGGTTCATAGGATCCCAGCAAGATAAACATCCAAATGTCTCTTGAAGGCATTCAAAGTAGGTGCTTGAACCACGTCCGGCGGCAGTCTATTCCAGACCTTGGGGGCTTGGACAGTAAAGAAGTTCTTCCTTATGTCCAGCCTGAAAAGGTCATGGAGGAATTTGTGACTTTTCGACCTTGTCATCCCTTGGGGCACTCTAGTGAACAGACATTCTCCCCAGATCCTGATGTACACCCCTTTATATACTTGTAGGCAGCCACCAGGTCCTCCCTGAGCCTGTGCTTTTCCAGGGTGTAGTGTCCAATAGCTCTCAGGTTCTCATCATAAGGCCTGTTCTCCGGACCTCTGATTATGCGCATGGCTGTCCTCTGCACTCTCTCAAGCTTCTCCACATCCTTTTTGAATTGTGGAGCCCAAAACTGGACACAGTACTCCAGCTGCGGCCTCACCAAGGCTGAGTACAATGGGAGAATGACATCCTGGGATTTGCTTGAGAAGCATCTGTGGATGCAAGCCAGCGTTTTGCTCACTTAACTAGCTGCAGCATCGCATTGATGGCTCATGTTCATCTTCTGGTCAATCCTGACCCCCAAGTCCTTTAGTGTCCATAGTGCTAGCCAGCGTAGCACTGCTGATCCTTTAAGTATGCTGCAGGTTTTTCTTCCTAAGGTAAAGAACCTTGCATTTTTCAGTGTTAAACACCATCAGGTTCTCATCTGCCCATTTCCTGAGCCTGTCAAGGTTGGCCTGAATCGCCCTCCTGTCCCCAGGTGTGGATGCTTTACCCCAGAGTTTGGTGTCATCGGCGAACTTGGCCAGTCTGCTTCTGACACCAATGTCCACATCATTAATGAAGAGTTGAATAGTATAGGCCCAAGGACAGAGCCTTGAGGGACCCCACTGGTCACAGCACACCATGACGTTTGACTTCCATCAACCACCACCTTCTGGGTCCAATTACGGAGCCAGTTCCCCAGCCAAAGGATCATGGTGAAGCCGAGGCCGCAGTTAGCCAGTTTTGCTAAGAGGTGATCATGGGATACCAGGTCAAAGGCTTTTTTAAAGTCAAGATGTATGACATCTATCTCTTCTCCCTTGTCCAAGTGATAGGTCACCTGGTCATAAAAGGAAATAAGGTTGGTCAAGCAAGACCTACCTGCAACAAACATGTGCTGGCTATCCTCAGGATGTTGCCATCGGCCAGTCTGTTAAGAATGGCCTCTTTGATAATCTTTTCTAAGACCTTCTCCGGGATAGAGGTCAGGCAGATGGGCCTGTAGTTTGCCGGATCCACTTTCCTCCCTTTCTTGAAGATGGGCACCACATTGACCTTCCAGTCTTCATGCACTTCACCAGAGTGCCAGGAGTTCTAGAAGATCCATGCCAGGAGCTGAGCTATGATGCTCGCCAGCTTCTTGAGTACCCTGGGGTGTAAACTGTCAGGGCTGGCTGACTTGAAGGTATTCAGCCTGTCAAGGTGTTCCTTCACAAGGTCAGCATTGATGGAGGGTAAAGAATCTCTCTTACCCAGGCCTTCCTGCCCCGTAATGGGCAGAGGTATCCCTTGGGACTGGTGAAAAGCCAGTGTGTAGTACCCGTTTAGCAAGTTGGCTTTTTCCGGGCACCAGTTGTCAGTTGTCCCATCTGGTTAAGCAGGGGTCAAATGTTGCCCTTGCTTTTCCTCCGGCTCCCCACATATCTAAAAAAGGACTTTTTATTGTCCTTGATACTTGTAGCTAGTTGAAGTTCAGTCACAGCCTTGGCTTTCCTGGTTCGCTCCCTGCAGGTCCGGATCAGTGCAGAACATTCCTCCTTGGAGGTGGATCCAGTCCTCCATCCTTTGTAGATCTTTCTTTTTAGATGCAGGAGGTCCGCTAGTTCCCTGCAGAGCCAAGGGGATTGCTGTGCCCTTTTGCTGCCTTTCCTCCGAGATGGGATAGACTTTGCTTGTGCATCCAGGATCACTCCCTTGAGGAGCAACCACTCATCTTGAACTCCTCTCCCCTTTGGGTCGTGTTTCCTTAGGATCTTACTGACAAGCCTCCTGAGCTTGTCAAAGTCAGCTTTCTTGAAGTCAAGGACTTTGGTATTGCTGACTGACTTGCCAGCTTTATGGCGGGTGGTGTAGGTGATCCAGTTGTGGTTACTGTCACCCAGCTTCCCTTCAACCGGCTCGTGGTTACTGTCACCCAGCTTCCCTTCAACCGTTAGGTCGCTGATTAGGTCGTCCCCTGTTGCCAGCACCAGGTCGAGCAGCGCTTTACCTCTTGTCAGCCTGTAGACTTCTTGAGTCAGATAGAGCTCATCCATACATGAGAGAAAGCTTTGCGACCATTCAGATTTGGCCGAGCGCTCTTCCCACAAGAAAGAAGTCCTTCCAAATCAATATGATTGCTATTTACAATACAAATACATTAATGCAGCTACATTACTCATCTATAATTGATTTAATACAAAATTCTGGGTTATTTTTGGTGAAAATAGGGTATTGGGCCTTGGTTCAGGAATCAATCCCCCATTTATAACATTGTTCCTATGGGAAAATCAGTTCCAAGTTACGACATTTTGACTTAAGACGTGGTTTTCAGGAATCAGTTGTGTCGTAAGTCCAAGGACTGCCTGTAGTTTGGAATTTAGAAGCTAAGCAAAATTGCTGCATTTGCCTCTCATAGTGAAAAACCTGGCCTAATAATTGCACTGTGGAGTTAGTATGGAGACAGACTTAAATCTAGTTTGTTTTACCAGGACCTTCTGTTGCCACCCCTCTTCCCCCCACCCCCATATGCAGTTTTGTCTCGTATTGAGACAAGAAGGGACTGTATCAGTGCAGAACAAGCAGGCAGCATTAAGGCCAAGGGGGACCTAATCCTGGCTTTTCAGAATGAAGCCAGCCAGAAATATAACTTGTCTCTTCACCACTGGAAGAAGGAAAAAAAAAACAGATAGCTGGGAAAGCAAACGGCTAACTGCTTGCATTACAAGGACATGTGAGAAGGATAAGGAAGGGATTTGAAATATGGTTTCTGGAGAGGTTTTCCAGATTCCCATGGACATAGCCTCTGTCCTGATTACCCTGGCAAGATCATATTCAAGCTCCCTGTACCTTCCCGTACAAACTTTGGAAGACATGAGTTAGGGACCAGCCCTTACAGTCAGGAGTAGTATCACCCTCACACTAGCAATTCCATTTCTGCTGCAAACAAGGATAACAGTTCACCAGAGGATAGTATACAACAGTAACTGGCAATATGGGTTGCTCTTCCATTTCTTTACTTATTTCTGTATAAAGTATTCTGTGCTATTACTAGGGTAACTACTAGAGATGCCCCCTGCACTGTGCCCTGGCTGCCTGCAGTCAGCTGTTGGAGCAGGGGGAGGGAGGGATGGTCAGGAGCCAACACCCCTCCCCCCCCCCTGCAAAACAGCAGCAAATAACAGGGGCACCTATTGGCAGAAGGCGTGAACTACAGTAATAGGGAAGCACCACCTGGTGGCAAAAGAAAGTAATTACAAGTCTTTGAGTCACCGGGTGTTTACACACCATAAATCCATAGATATGATGACGTATACGGCGGTGACATAACTGGTCAGGAGCCAACCCCCCTCCCCCCCCCCTGCAAAACAGCAGCAAATAACAGGGGCACCTATTGGCAGAAGGCGTGAACTACAGTAATAGGGAAGCACCACCTGGTGGCAAAAGAAAGTAATTACAAGTCTTTGAGTCACCGGGTGTTTACACACCATAAATCCATAGATATGATGACGTATACGGCGGTGACATAAACTAAACTGTGTTCTAGCAGCTTTAGTTTACTGGGCCAAAAAGACTTTTAAAGCAGTGAGAAATCCTGCTTGTGCAAACAAAAACGCAGTTCCAGTGGCGTAAATGAGAAATCTCGTGTCGTGTACAAATGCCCCTGGAGAGATGCAGTTTTACCACCTCTGAGGAGTTTGTATCCTGAGATAAATACCTTGCCATAAACCTTGCTGTACAAAGATACATCTCTGATACATGCACTTCCATTATACTGTCTCTGTAGTGTTAGCAAGAGTAAATCTTCAAGCCAAAGCCACTCACCTTAAGGGTCCCTTAACTCCCTCTTTTAGCCATCCTCCTGGTGGGTTAGAAGAAGCAGAACAGAGTGGTTTGCAGGGGATTCTTGCTTTGCCTCTGACAAACAGGAAGACAGGCAGGAAAAGGAGGTGGTAGTCCTTGGTTGCACTTCCCAACAATGCAACCAGCATTCAGAAGGAAGTTAACTGTGCTTGCTTGAGTAGTAATAGAGAATACTTTTTTAAACCAAGTCGTACCCAAGGATTAACTTGCTACTTTCCTAATCCTTCTTCATTCCTATGCAGTGCAGATCATGCAGGCACACAAAAAGAAAAACTAGCATGGCTTTCACCAGCCTTCTTGAACACCTTAGAAAAACAACCCCTGGATATCCATTTTCCCTCTTGTGTCTTACTTTCCTTTTGTTCTTTGTAGGAGTGGTGGTTCACTGCAAGAGAGCCAATGGAAGACTTATGGCTGAAGACAGCTCCGGACTTTCCCACATGGGAAGGAGACCTGTCAGAAGCAGAAATTAGAAAGTTCCATAGAACCAAATACCTCATGAGGGCACCTGCTCTGGACGTAGACAATCCTTTCCCAGAAGAAAAGTAACATGAAATGGCCTCTTCAAATAGCCTACACTGCTCAGACCAGTAAGCACATACACTATTTCTCTACCACTCATGGAAACGCATGTTCTCTGCTAAGTCCTGTTTTTGCCCTTCTCTTCCTTTGGCAAATTTAGGCAGTATGGTCTAGCTGTTGTGTTCTTAGAGCATTTATCAGCACTGTTTAATAAACTCAGCAGGATCTCAGTCTTTTATAGTAATTTATTTGTGGAATAGAGTCTAGGGGCATAGCCAGTAAGTCTAATTCATTTTCAAATAGAATTTAAAAATAATGTTATATATCTTCTAATTTTAGTTCACTTAGGACCAGTGTTCAGATTCTCTAAACAGCTAATGCAAATGCCCACCCAACACAAAACTTTAGGATATCTCCAGGATATCCCCAGATGGTGCTGTTTGTGTAATTGTAACTTAATAAAATAGATGTAATTTCTTATACATCCTCCTTTGGATGAAGTGCTAGCCTGTCTGTGAAGTTTCTAATTCAGCTGCCTTCAGCTTTGCTTTGGGGAAGTAACTGTGTTGAGTAGCTCTTTGATGTGTTGATCAGGTAGAATTCCTTCCCTGGAGGTGTCAGACAGCAGGCAGGGAGGTGGAAAAAAAAAAACTTCCTTGTTGTTCTGCAATGAAGTTTAAAATCCAAAATCGGCTAAAATTCAGCATCTTCCATGTTTCAGGGGTGTACTTGTAATACGGCTACCAAGTACACCCCTGAAACATGGAAGATGCTGAATTTTAGCCGATTTTGGATTTTAAACTTCATTGCAGAACAACAAGGAAGTTTTTCCACCTGCCTGCCTGCCGTCTGACACCTCCAGGGAAGGAATTCTACCTGATCAACACATCAAAGAGCTACTCAACACAGCTCACAAAGACACTCTCATGGACCCAGAGGGACAGCCTTCCATTTTCAGCTCCCTCTGTGCAAAAATGAAGTTTATTTCCTACCTATGGGGACATTTTACCATCTTGTACCATCTACACTTTTCCTAGAGCCTGACGAAGGGACTTTGATCCCAAAAGCTTGCAGAAAAGGACAATTTTCTTGCCATTTTCCACTTGGTCTAATAAAAGGTATCATTTTGGAACCAAGAGTTCTAGTTTTTTGTATGTCTGGTAATTTCATGTACATTGTAATTCAGTTGTCAGCTGTCTTGTGTAATGAATGCCTTTTCACAGCAGGTGTTGCTGCAGAGCCTGACATGGGAGCCTGACATGGATCAATGTTTTTCTGCCTACAGATCATTCCTTGCTCCTTAATAAGTGAATTAATTTAATTAAAAGTAATTTTTTGTACTGAATCCTGTTTCTGTTAGTAGACCTGAAATGTCCTCTACCTACAGCTACAAAGCATGTTGGTGTCTTGAAGAGTGGGCAGCTTGAACTATGCCAGGCACCCTTGAGCACAAGCCCCCCATTTTTTAATGGGAAATCCTCTTGCGGTTAAACAACTGGTGTTCCTTACTGAAACGCATTGACAGTAGTGTCCTCTGTGTACTGCTGGTGTCCAGTTTGACGCTGCTGACCCCGTATCTTAATTGTTGCTCTTGACACTGACAGACCCTGTTCTCCCTCTTAATGTTTCCTGATCTAAACTACCACACAGAACCGTTTTTATGGATCCATTTCCCTCAGCGCTGGTAAATGTGCTTTGCTCGGCGATACATATTCGAAAATGGTCCCTGACATTGGGTTCTGCTAGGTACTGCTGGTGTCCAGTTTAGTGCTGCTGACCTGTCTTACCTGGTCTTCCTGACACTTTTAGACCTAGGCATCCCTCTCACTGTTTCCTGATTTCGCCTGCCCAGCCATATCTCGAGATTAAAAATTCTCTGTAATAGATTTTCAGTGTCTTGCAGCACCCCCTGCTTTTTAGAGACACCGTCAGTGGTAATATATATTGTCCACTCACCAGAACACTTCTGTGCCTAAACCACAAATTAAGGCTTTGTAGATTACGGTGTCTTACTTTGTACACTCCCAAAACTTTTAAGCATTCCCAGTGTCACAGCCCCAGCTATGCTCCACACCCCAACATTGAAATTCCATGCTGTACCCCACCAGACAACACATACAAACCATTTGCCCCATCCCCTCAAGGGACACCCACACATCCCCAACAGCTGCCAGCCACAAGGCATTTGCCAATGACTGCATTGATTGTAGACATACAAAAATGTAAAGGAATAATAATTTATTTTCTTGTTAAATTGTAATCTAAAGTAATATCTCATTTGGGCCTCTTTTTCTGATGCAGTGACTGTTCTGTGGGAAGTGAGAAGAGATTGTAATTTCCCCCCCACCTTTACAGCATATTTCCCCAGCAATATGTCCCCAAGCCTTCTGTGAAAATACCTATGTACTTGGTGCCGCTAAGCATCCATCAGGAGGGGTCTGTTGGATGTGTCTGCAGTCAAGTGACGCACAGCTGGAGGGCAATTGTGAGAGAGACAGCATTTAGCCTGACATGTTCATACCTACGCTTCCCTATTACCATATCCACAAGCTCCCCCCGCCCCCTGCAGTGGAACGCTTACCACCAGCTCGTGTTCCCGTCCTCGCTGCTGATGGTGGTAGGGCTGAGGCAAAGCAGCGGGGGTTGGGATATGGCCGCACCACATTCAGTGGCTGGAAAATAAGCATGGGTGGTGCGGTAATGAGCACTGTAGGTGGCAGGGGCATCAGGAGGATCTGATGATGGAAGGGTGTAGGCTGAATGGGACCAGACTAGGGGCCAGGTTGGGGTGAGAGAATGGGGGGGCTGACCTCAGAACCCCGACATCAGTGTCTGGCCAGTACTGTGTGGGTCACCTTCCACGCTGGCAGCCTGTGTCTTAATGGCTCCCGGTCTCACAGCCAGCCCCCCCCACCTATTTAAAGTCCATTTCTCCCTCCCACCACCCTCTTTTTACCATCATGTCCCTTGGTGTTAACAAAGGGGTGGTGCTCAGCAACACATTTATTCACCTGAACCCTGACCTTGTGGTCTGGTGGGTCCTTTGTGGCTCCTGTTCCATGTTGGCAACCCACGTTTTTGCAGGAGTCCCACTCACAGCCACAAACTAGGCACCCTCTCAATTTTTTTAGCCTCTCCCGCTAGCACCCTCCTTTTAGAATCAGGTCTCTCATCAGCGAGCCTGTGACCAGGGAGCCAGCGAACAGGGACTGCCAACAGGAGCAGTTTCCAGGCAGTTTACAGACCAGTTTGTGGGCAGGAGTGGGGCTGTACGCCCACTGCCTCTGTAAGGGCGCACCGGCGTTCGCGCAAGGTGGGCGTGCAGAACGAGCCAGGTCGGAGACTTCACCAGGGAGGAAAGGAGAACACTTTGCTCTACAATAACGGTGAGTACATGGCGGACTGCCAGGGCCCTGGCACAGGTGGTGCTCCTAGCCCGGGGCTCCTCTGCGGCCTCCACCCAGACAGAGCCCGTGGGGGGGCTTGAGCCACCCTCCTCCCATCTGTGGGGGCTGCCTGGCAGGGCCCCAGCGGCCTGGTGGGGGAGGGGGCAGCGGGAGTTCCCTCGCCTGTCCCACATGTGCCCACCTTCGGGCCTTGGAGGAGCAGGTGAGGGAGCTCCAGGCTGAGGTCAGCAGGCTGCGGGGGATTAGGGCGGCCAAGGATGAAATTGTTGGGTACTTTCGTTCGCTGCAGGGTCAGGAACCTAGAGGAGAAGCCACTTGGGAGGGACCCACCGCAGAGGTATGGCAGACAGTCACCTCCAGAGCCAGGGCTACTCATGGTACCTCAGTGTCAGCTCCCCAGGTACAGGTGGAGAACAGGCACGAGGCCCTGGCAGCCATGGAGGAGGAGTAGGAGAGGATGCCTCCAAGGAAGCCAATGCCACTCCAAGCACCGCACAGGCCAAGAGCTACTGGAACATCAAGGCAAAGAGACGCTGGGTCCTCGTCATCGGCGATTCCATCCTGAGAGGAACGGAGGGGCCCATCTGTCACTCTGACCCCATGGCATGTGAGGTTTGTTGCCTGCCTGGAGCTCGGATTCAGGATGTCACAGAGATGATCCCAGACCTCATCTGACCCTCTGATTAATACCCCATGGTCCTCATCCACGTGGGAACGAATGACGCGGCCGGGGCAACCCAGACCGCATCATGAGAGACTGCAAGGCTCTGGGAGCAAAGCTCAAGGAGACAGAGGCACAGGTGGTTTTTTCTTCTATCCTTCTAGTGAGCAGACGCAGACGGCATCAGCAAGGTCAACCGGCTGCTTGGGAGCTGGTGTTACCTGGTGGGCCTTGGGTTCTTGGACCACGACCCACATTTCCGCATGGAGGACATGCTTGGGCGGGATGGACTTCATCTCTCCCCAGAAGGTAAGCGTGTTTTTTCTTCCAAGATGGCTGATCTCATACGGCAAGCTTTAAACTAGGTTCGCCAGGGGATGGGGACGCAGAGAAACATGAGGACGCTTCGCTGTCAAGCCAGGTGGCAAGCACAGGTAGTACCCAGGTAAGTGACTGGGGCCAGGGCTGGCTTAGGAACAAGGGGGCGTCGCAGGCACCACAGGAGGCCTCAAATGCCTCTACACAAATGCTCAAAGCATGGGGAATAAGCAAGAGGAACTCGCCCTCCTGCTAGCTAGCAAAAACCCAGACCTAGTGGGGCTCACGGAAACCTGGTGGGATTCTACCCACGACTGGGCAGTGGACATAGAGGGATACAGGCTGTACAGGCGAGACAGAGCAGGGAAAATGGGGGTGGGGGTGTAGCGCTATATGTCAAAGCTACACATCCTCAATAATCAGGATGGGATCAGAGGAGGGGCAAAATGAGGTGCTCTGGGTAAGAATGCAAGGGGGTCGTGGGGAAAGGGACTTGATAGTGGGCGTCTGCTACTGACCACCTCACTAGGGGGACGAGCTGGACCTGGAAATGTCAGGTCAGCTCTCAGAGGCTGTAAAGTGAAGGGATGTGGTTGTCATGGGTGACCTAAACTACCCAGACATCTGCTAGGAGGAGCAGTCAGCCAGGTCCGACTGCTCACGTAGGTTTCTAGCTGGGATACAGGACCTCCATCTAACCCAGGAGGTGCATAGTCCCACCAGGGGAAATGCATTGCTGGACTTTGTCCTTGCTACAGGCAAGACCTGGTGAGAGGTGTGCGGGTACTCGACCACCTGGGGATATTGATTATCGCCTGCTGGAATTTACTATCCAGTGCAGGGTGGTGAAAGCGAGCAGCAAGGCAGAGGTCCTTGACTTCAGGAGGGCCGACTTCTGTAAGCTAAGAAGGGTAGTAGGAGAGGCATTGGGGTCTTGGAGCTTCAGTGAGATGGGAGTCCAAGATGGGTAGTTGTTCAAGGAGACGATCCTCCAAGCTCAAAGGGAGTCAGTCCCAATGCACACCAAGGGGGACAGGAGTGCTAAGAAGCCCCCATAGCTCAGCAAAGGCATCCAGGGATGCCTGAGGGCAAAAAAGGAGGCGTACAAACAGTGGAAGCAAGGAGCTATCACCAAGAAGGATTACGCCTCCGTTGCTCGGGACTGCAGGCAGGCTGTTAGGAAGGCCAAGGCAGAGATGGAGCTAGGGCTAGTGACCAGAATTAAGGATAATAAAAAGTCCTTTTTCAAATACACAGGAAATAAGAAGAAGGCACCGGGTAACGTGGAGCCCCTACAGTACAGGCTTGGCAATCTGGTGATTGCGGCAAATGAAAAAGCTGACCTCTTTAACGAATTCTTTGCCTCCATGTTCCTGAACAGGGACCAGGACATTTCCCCCACTAGAATTGCAGACGGACCCAGGGGAGGCACTGCCATGCCTAGGGTCAGGGACGACTTAGTTAGGGAACTTTTGAAGGGGCTGGACACATTTAAATCAGCAGGTCCAGATGCTCTTCACCCAAGGATGCTGAGGGAATTGGCAGGGGTCACAGTGGGGCCCCTGGCATGGCTCTATGAGCATACGTGGGGCACTGGCCAGGTACCAGAGGATTGGAAAAGGGCCAATGTGGCTCCCATTTACAAGAAGGGGAGAAAGGAGGACCCCGGCAATTATAGGCCAGTCAGTGTTACCTCGGTCCTTGGGAAGACCTTTGAGAAAATTATCAAGGAACACATCTGCAGGGGAGGTAATGCTCAGGGGCAACCAACATGGGTTCATTGAGGGCAGATCTGCCTGACTAACGTGGTTTCTTTCTATGATCAGGTCACAAGGTCCTTGGACGAGGGTGTCGGGGTGGATGTTGTCTTCCTGGACTTTAAGAAGGCCTTTGACATGGTTTCCCACCACATTCTCTTAAAAAAACTAGGCGACTGCAGCA